TTATCGCTGCATCTGGACTGAAAAATGCCCCAAATACAGCTATAATGACCGGGCGTTATATTCGGGTGAAGACGGTAGTCACCAACAGTCAGCAGACGTCAGCAAAAGTCAGCAAAAGACTGTTGCTGACTGTTGCTGACCGCTGCTGACTGCTGCTGACTGTTGGGGTGAAGTGTTGGGGTGAGTGTTGGGTTGAGTGTTGGGTTGAGTGTTGCGGTGAGTGTCGGGTTGAGCGTTGCGGTGAGTGTCGGGTTATATAAGAGACAAAACTACAACAGTTTGTTTAAGGCGACTCAGCAACAGTCAACAAGAGTCAGGAACAGTCTTTGCTGACTTTTGCTGACTGTTGGTGACTAGCCTTAAACTGTTGCTGACTGTTGCTGACTGCACTGAGTGTTGGGTGGTGAGTGTTCTGAGGACGAACATGTTGAGTGGTACAGAAAGTTGACCAGTTTGTTGCAGATTGTTCTCAGGGAGATCTTGACCTGTCTGTCTGTCTGTTGGTGGCTGCCGCAGCAACAGTCGGCAATGGTTGCTGATTCGCCTCAGTGACTATACCTGGCTTGCCTCACTTAAGAGAATTCAGTCAGAGTGTGTCTTTTGTGTGTGTGTGTGTGTGTGTGTGTGTGTGTGTGTGTGTGTGTGTGCTCACGCACGTATGCATCGGATTGAGAATTCAGTCAGCATGGGCAAATTGAAAAAAAGAAGAACTGGCTGGCTGCTACAAGAACTTGGCTGTTTTTTTTGGGGATCGGCATATGGTTTTCGGTGTTGAAGCTGTTTCAAAAAACTTACTCTTCTCTTACCTTTCGTTGTTTCAAAAACCGTTTTTCTCTTATGAATCTTATCTGTATATATAGCTCTGGTTTTACGATATATATAGGTGAAACTCCAACGAAACAGTTTGTCACAGCCCCTCGTTTGTTGTCCTCTTCTCCCTCTCTGCCTACGGTTTACCGGGCATTTATGTTTGATGATATATATAGGGGATTCTGCAGACTGTTAGGGTTCAGCCTCCTGATGAGTCGGTGAAACTCCGACAAAACAGTTTGTCACAGCCCCTCCTTTGTTGTCGTCTTCTCTCTCTCTGCCTACGGTTTACCGGGCAGTTCTGTCTATATTATATATATATTATATCCGGGCAGTTCTGTTTGTGACGATATATAGATATATAATTGACGATATATATTTGTCACAACCCCTTGTTTGTTGTCCTCTTCTCCCTCCCTCTCTGCCTACTAAGGTTTACCGGGAAGCTCTATTTGAACCATATATTTGTATATATCTGTATGCAGCTGCGACTATGCTAGTTGTGCAGATCCACATCCAGTGGCCACCTCTCTCTCAACTGTGCTCTGAGTGGCCAGATCCATCTA